GCTGATTAAACAAGATGTCTAAGTACAAGTACAGAATAACTTCCAGCAAACATTCAGGAAATAGTTTAAATTGTAACAGCGCCGTAGCTAGTATGAGGCCAACCGAGGCACTCGCCTCGGTAAAATTTTGACGAATTTCGCCGATCATTTTTATTTTACATAAGCGATCATCGGATATTTTTAACGCATCATGATATTACAAAGAATTCAGCAATTCAGTCAATATACTATGAAAAAATTACCATATCATCGATCTCAAGGGGCTACGTACGTTAACTCAAATTTTTTTTGAACAAATACTGATCAAAACCATTGGCGAGGTTAACGGTCACCCAGATTATGTAGCTTGTTTCTGATTGTTGCTTTTAAATTCCACTTAAATTAACTCGAAAAAAAGTTACCGAAAGGCCCAGAAAACGCTGCAAATCGCATTTCCGAGAGACTAAAGTTCAAAATTTCTCGGGGGCATCCCAAACCCCCTAGCAACTCCCGCCTGCCTCGGTTGGCCGTTTTCTGGCTACGGCACTGTCTCAAGTTAAAAATTTTTGTTCTCAGTTAAAAAAAACAAACTTTGTGCACGAATAATGCATGTACGGTCTCTAGGGAAAATACTATTTTTTCACTTTCGATCGATCAAAATCGTGTCCCATTTGACACACATTCTAAAGAGAAAACGCGCTGATTTAGGTTTAGCGGTCTTCCTATTTATAATTATAATAATTATTATTCTGTCGCTCAAATGGCCCTCCACCAGCTGTACCTTTCAATTTTCTCTTGTGTTGGACTGTGGGACGAGAAACTTTAACCTGAGCCCTTTGAGGATACACTCAACTAGACCTCCAGAGGGTCCCTGAACTTCAAAGATGCAAGTCGATATTTGGTACAAAAACGGTCCACACGTTTAACACAACTGTCGCTTCCGTGCACAACGGTACAAGCTAATTTATATACATAACAAAGCCCAATAATTTTTCTTTCACTTCTTTACAATTTCCTGTTGTACCGATGTGCACGAAACTAACAGTAAGCATAGAAAGTCAAAATTACCCACCTTTTTGGCATGCCTTTCGCACCCATGCCGGCGATTGCAAAGCCAATACCTCCGACAAATAACCACCACTGGGTTTGTCCGCCGTTTCCAAAGCGCTACATTTTCTAGAGAAAACATTCCACTCAAAACTTTCACCAAAATGTTTTTTGATCTCTTACTATGGCAAGAAAACCACAACGCTATCACTGTCAAAAAAACGGCCATTATTTTTTTCATCTCAACCGGCATTTTTGCCTCAGAGCCAATGACATTGCCCCGAAACAGATCACGTGTCATTTTTAGTAGAGCATGCGCAGACATTTTTCGCCGGTGAATTGGCGGACAAACGTGGTAGCCGTCCAGCCTCGTTCCCAGTCGTCCTCGGCGATTTCGGATGTGACGTCACCTGTCAAGCTTGTCGGGAAAATTCGCCCAGGAATTATCGCGCTCGGTTCCAAGCCTCCGCTGGTCACTCGGATAGCGCGAACAGGCCTGGGTACGAGGCTGGTAGCCGTCGTCATTTTTTCCCTAGTTTTAGCGAGAATATCGCAGTGGCGAAAACAAGTTATAAAGTATTAGAAATTTTTCATTTTATCACTGAATGTAATCAGCATAAATTTTTGTTGTTACTCTGCTTACCTCTGCTGTTATTTTTCATTTAACCAAATGTATCATCTATCAATACAAGACACTTTACTGGCAAATAAAAAGGAATGCTACATTATGAAAAGAGCCACTTTAGCGCAAGAAAACTATCCAATGTCTTTTTTTCTTTTCGTATTACCATGATACCATCTATCTCTTGTTACACTTTCATCTCGTTCGATATAATTACTGTAGTAAGTGCAAAAAAAGGGACCCAGTGTAATTGACTTCTTTTTATTTTATTATTTTTTTAATTCATTTATTTTTATTTTTTATTATTTTTTTCACCTTGGCTTATTGAAAATGTCTTATTTTCTAAGGCATGCTTGTTTTAAAGTTTCTAGCGACTATGGAGACAACAAATTTAAAATGGCAGTTTAGGTGTTTTTGTCTTTAATGGAAAAACTACTACTAACACCTGTCAGATCATACCCTGTATTGTTTACAAACTGACCAATAGCATTCCTGTATACGACAACCACCATCTTATATATCCTATCCCAATGTGCTAAAATTATTGGACTTTCAAGAGCTTGGATTATCAACTTTACCCAGGTTAGTTACAATTAAATGTTGAATAAAAAACTAGAACGAATGGACGAGAAACAGGTTACCTAAGATGGGTAAACAGTTACAATAATAGAACTTTATACATATATTCTAATTCAGCATGTCATGATTTTACAGTTATCTTATTGTAAACTAAACTTTAAAATGGCAAATACATCGCTTTATTTAAGAGCTGGAGAACACCGCAAAGCTAAACTAATTTTAAATTGGAGGAGCCTGTAAGGTTTAAAGTCTGCTTTGTCCTTTTACAGCTTGGATTTAATTTTTGAATCTTTTTCATCCGAGGAGAGGATAGTCGTATCCTTATTTTTTTAGAAACAATTTCTTCTTGATTCTTAGTTTTTAACAAGTCAAAGGGCAAATATGTATCCCGGGCAGTCTTTTTCAAAGCGGCTTCAATATCAAAAGCCAAAACCTTTAACGCGGCATTAACTAACAATGCATGTCATTGGTCCTGAAATCCCCTACAAAATGTTTCTATTTCGTGCAGGAATGACATTGGCACTCTCGCAGAAAAAATAATTTTCAATACCACAGTCATTCAGCCTATCTAGCAAGAGCCGTTGGTACTATGTATATTACATTTGAGGGTTTAGATAACATGAAAATCAGCGAAAAATGACAGCATCATGAAGGTATACTCATGATTCATAGCACGTGTAAATGAAAATTATATGTGAACTTTATCCATGCAAAACCTTTTTTTTTTCATATGTAACTTTCATTTCATAGTCGTGCAATGGTTATTAGCACATCCCGCATGACGTGAAGAATGCTCGAAATTTAATTACTTTTCTTCGGTTTTCCTTCTTGTTCTTTGTCATAAAACGCTGGATTAGCTCTTCAAACAAAACTACTAATCAGTCAGCAGGAGTAGGTGTTCTACCCCTCCAAACGCAAAAAACAATTCTGGTAAATATAAACATGCCACGCTTTTTTTACTTAAAGCCATAACAATTATTTGTTTCCTTTGATATTCAGCCATGAAAATGCGGTTTGTAACCTTAGTTACTTTGCTGTCAATCACTTGCACTTCCTCCAACAAGATGAAGCAGTTGCTGAAGACCAATGACGTTATAGACAGTGAGGTAATGGCGTCTGCAATCCTCAGGCTTGTTTTTGATTTTGAACATGATGTTTGTCACCTTTGTGGTGGCTAATTTTCCTCCAACCACTCTCGAGTTATTCTTTCATTGCGTTCCTCTTGAATAAACGAGTAAACGTCCAGCTCAGTTTTCAAGTCATAATATACCCGATAGAATTTCTAATAAATATTATTAAAAGCCAAAGGAACCTACTTACACTTTAGGTAGAATGGTAGCGGATGAATTTTTAAGAAAATATCATCCTGAGTTACCCCTTTTAGAAGCCAAAAAAAGGTAAAGGAAAAAAAGAATTTAACAAAACGTGACACAGATCCGTATTTTTCTCAGCTTCCAAAGCGCGGTGAGTGTCCGATTGGGTCATATTGTATGCCGAAGTGCTTTATAACACCTAATTTCATTGGCTCTAAAGGATCTTGCTCTGAAGGAACATGTTGTGCCTACTCTTCTGTAAGTAATATTTTAAAGAAATGAAATAAGTCAAGAGATAAAATACACAATTTTCTGGTACAGTTTTTGGTGCTAGTTTTTAAACTTTTTAAATTTTTTTGTTAATTTATTGGATGAGAAAGGAAGTGCGGAGGTGCGGACATCGGACACCGAACTCGGCGGGTCTCGAGTAAATATCTTGGAGATCGGAAAGTCCGGTTAGGACATCCGGATGATCGAGGTTTTGACTGTATATTGATTGATTGATTAGTTGATCGATTGATTGATTGATTGGTTGATGGATTGATTGATTGATTGACTGATTGATTGATTAATTGTTTGGCTGACTGACTGACTAACTGTGGTCCTGACTCTCCTAGAGAGAAAGCTGGCTGTAACTGGCTTGCAATTTAAATTTGATTACATTTACTTGTATACAGCTATTTTGAGAAAGATTGTCAACAAAAGTGCACGCGACAATCCCGAAAGGTATTGTGGGTGGTTTTGAGTTCACTGTTCTTCAAAGAAATTTGAAAGAATGGCACGAGAGGCCATGGACATATGTTTGCGAGTGGTAAAGGAAAGCAACAAAAGTAGATTCGACAGCTACAGTGTCAGGAACAGTGTATTGCTCATATCCCATATTACCTTTCAGGATTGTCGCCTGCACATTTTTTCCGACAACCTTTCTTGAATTAGCTGTATATCAGGCGAGAAGCCCGCCCTTATAACTGTACATGTTATTACGTAATATCAGAACCATGTAGGAAAAATGTGTAATAAAAACAAAATCGCGGCATTTGAAAGAAATAATGTTTAGTGTTTTTTCGCAGGGTAAGAAATGAAGTGATGCACCTACCGTCAACGAAGAACGATAACAGGATATGAGACCTTCAGCACATACGAAGAACTTGGATGTTGGATGTGTATCTCTTCAACTTGTGCTTTCACTGAAATCACGAGTTGAAGAGAAGTAATCAATAAATTGAATAAAGGTTGGGTTTCAATTGTGCTAAAGTTGTGTTGCCCCTTATTATAAGATAAAGGTCTAAGCACTTATTTTGAGTCAATATTTTTCGTAGTTTGTAATCGGCTGTTATAATTTTTTTCTGTGATTGGTAATACCTCTAACAACATATAGGGTATTTGTTATAATTTAAAAACTTGGTCGTAATTTTGTAATAAGCAAAGCTGTCGTAATTTTTAATAATTATAACTTTATCGTGATTTGTAGTAAACTTTATCATAGGCAAGTCTGTTAACATAAGATGTGACTTGTAAAAATTTTTCCAAATTTTCTAACATGATTTAGTGTTTCCAGGTATATTCTTACAATAGGCTACAAAAGGCCCCACGCTTTAGGTCTAATTTAAAAGTCCGAAGCCTAATAAGGCAGTTTGGGAGACTTTGTGGTGCCGTGTTAGAAGTACTAATTGTACGTAAAATAATTTCAAGCACGAATACTCCAATGCATGGCTGAAGTTGCAAGAGAGTGGACATGATTGGCTTACATTGGCTATCACAAAATTCTCAAATTAAGAATTTGGTGAACAGTCAAACCTCTACTTCCATAACGTAGGCACATCTCTATTATGGATAGTTCTGGTGATCCCAGATAGACAATCAGAGAGTTCATATATACAATATAAACAACAAATAGTCCACGGAATTCATACCTCTATAGTACAAAACTCCTCTACAATATGTACGCTCAAGTCTAGCCCGTATTAGGAAGGTCTCACCACTAACACTAATAATGATTACCACAGATTCAACGTTCTTTTTAAGATTATCTTCGTTCTGGATTAGTAAAGATAAAGCGTGGGTTTTCAATTTTTGTTACCATTCATAAATGTCTTAGGGCCTGTTTACATATAGGTGGGGGACCCCAAGTAGGTGAGGCAACCCGCCTGGCCATATAATCTCCCATTTTAATTTGATCACGTTAACATTATGGGTTGGGTGACCATATGAGAGATTATACGGACATGAGGGTTACCCCACGTAAGAAGGTATCCTCACCTGCTTGAGGTACTTCACCTCCACTTAAACAGGCCATTAGGCCACGATTGGCAAAAGAGCAGAAACGACAAAGGATTATCTTTTTTATCCGGAAGTAAACAAGTTAAAGCCTAAGGGCTCAATTTCCTTCATCTTTCCACCACCTTTATTCTCCCAGCAGGCAGTGAAATTCTTGGCTCACAGATACGGATATTTTCGTACTTTGTCTTATACTACTGCCTCAGTCTTGATATTCTAAATATTGAAATAGACAATTATAATAATTTCCTCTAGAACTGGTTGCTTTTTAAGCGAGGTTGTGGGGACTCCCATAAGAAGAGACGGGAATACTGGTTGGAAATTAAGAATTCAGTGAACTCCTTAAAGAAACCAAACTGGCCATGGCTTAGGTTTTATTTGACCCCCAAAGAAGGCTAAACTCTGACACAGTGCGGAGACATTTGCTTGTTTGTTCTTCCATAGACATTTTGACGCACAACTCTAGGGAAAACGTTAGATCAAAATTTGGAATTTCTACCCTTAATGGAGCTTAAAAGCATCTCCGTCATTTTCATTTGAGAGTCCCCATCTCTAGAGGCACGATGAAGTTCATTGTACGAAATTCCTCCTTCCCCCTCCGTTGCTTGTCGCTTGTCAAAAATCGCCATGACCAAGTGTTTTAGTAAGTTATGTGATGGTAATGCACTCAGTTTCGTGACAAGACGGCCAAAATTTTTCGCTGGCCAGTGAAGCTCATTCTCGCATGCTGTACAGCAAGATTGTCAACCACTAAAACGTCACCAGTTCTCCAGCGAAAACCTACAGCGCATGACCAAGTGACGGCTCTTATATTTTCAAGGACAACAGGCTCAATCTCACTGCCGTCGCCGTAATAGGTGTGGTATGGGTATTTGTCAAAAGGAAGATTCGAGTCCTTGAACCTAAAGATGGAAGGAAAATGGTCGTTGTTGATTCTTTCTGCCTTCTCTACGCTTTTTTTTAAGACCCCATTGCACCGGGTTGGCTGGCCTGCTACTAATAGAAATTAAATTCTACGACGAGGACAACAACGTGGACGACATTTTGTCAATACTGTGCGAGCGTGAACCAGCGTCATTTTGGCGGGAAAAGATAGCCGTCGTAATTCTACTACGAGTTTTAGAGACCTTTAAATTCAAGACGAGGATAACTACGAGGACAAGATTTTGTCAATACTTACTAGTGCGCACGCGTGAACCAGCGTCATTTTGGCGGACATCCGGACAAACGTGGTAGCCGTCGACATTTTTTCCCTAGTTTTAGCAAGAATATCGCAGTGGGGAAAACACGTTAACAAGCATTAGAAATTTTATCACTTTATCGGGAGAGGGCTCAACCTTCTTCAATAAAAATAACCGTGCTAACTTTTCTGATGGAAATATATTTTTGGAAAATACGCGAAAAAACTTTAAGTAAAATCTCGCATTCGAATCTAAAGGTCTTTTAAAATTAAATTATTTTCAGAGACACGTTAGACATTGAGTCTACATTTATTTTTTTTTCCTGCGAATCAAACGCCCGCGTTAACTCAGAGGAATTACGCCACGATGAATTTTCTAGACACAGGCTCCCTTTACCCGTCTCTCCCCTCCCCAATCGTTTTCTCGCTTGACCTCTGTTAGTTTTCGCGGGGCTTTGTCTCTTACTTTAAAACCACAGGTAAAAGACACACCAATAAAACTACCCATCATGTGCAGGCTAAGGAAAGTTTCGACTTGTACTTTGACTGGTGCTGTTATTTGCAGTAGTGATCGAATACAGATTTTCAACTCTAGTTCGTGTTTGGCGGCATATCTTGTGTCACTGAGGGGAGGATATGAATGGGGGTAGCTTGATAACACTAAAAGCCAGGACCTGTAAAAACTTAATTTTTTGGATCTGTAACATGAAACAGTTAAATTTTAGGCATTTTAACACTAACCGTAAATTTTTTCCAAAAAGGAAACAAAAACGGCTCCAGAAAATGTCAATATTATTTTGTTTAGTATATCAACGAGGTTTCGGCCATATCCGACAATTCCCGATTATTTAGAAGAGTACCGAAGATTCACGAATGCTGCCGAAGATTTCCGAAGAGTATTAAAGTTGTTCCGGACGACGACTGAAGATTTCCGAGGAGAAATCCGAAAATTTTCGACTTTATTTTCGTCATTATATTCGCATGTGAAAGACATATTTTTTACAGTGTACAGATACGATTTTTGCACAAAAAACCTTCCAAAACCTTATCAGTATTTTCTCCGGAAACAATAAACATTAAAAAATTGGCCAATTTAACAGCAAACACTAAACGTTCACGCGAGTGGTTTTCGCGCCAGATCAGATATGCATGCGCCACTCGCTCCAGACTATAGGGTTTGCGATTTTCAATCCGGAACAAAGTTCGTTTTCAGTTTACATTATAATGAAATTTCGTACCAGAACGATAATTTTTCCGGAATGACTTGTACGGGAACGAAATGTCCTTTCGGTAACAGAGAAATACATGAAGATCTCTTGTATAGATATAGAATGAACTCGTCCCAAAATGAAAGTCATTCCGGTATCATGTGAATAGCCCCTTACCTTGGATTGTCTTTTAAGGCCGAAGCATGATGCCCTTGAATCTGGTTGAACCACATGGTTTCCCCAGTCTCCGGGTGTTGTTGGAAAGCCGGCAGGACATTCCAATAAATCAATGTCCCGGATGGTTCCCACTTATAACTGAAACCATTTTTTGTGAGAAAATGCTCTACAATCTGCAATAAAAAGTACAGAACAGTCATCCAGAAGTTGTGGCCTAAACAGCTTTCATTTTTGTTTTTCAATGTTGGCTTAGGGGAGGGGTAGGTGGGCAGTTTCCCAGAAACGTTTAATGATCCAGAAGTTGTGGCCTAGACAGCTTTCATTTTCTTTTTTCAATGTTGGCTTAGGGGAGGGGTAGGTGGGCAGTTTTCAGTTTCCCCTAGAAATTTTCGTTTAATGATCCAGAAACGTTTAATGATCCAGACAGCTTTCATTTTTTTTTTGTTGGCAATGTTGGGCTTTTCCAGGGAGTGGTCTAGACAGCTTTTGACAGCTTTCATTTTCTTTTTTCAATGTTGGCTTAGGGGAGGGGTAGGTGGGCAGTTTCCCAGAAACCTATAATAATCCAGAAGTTGTGGCCTGTAAACAACTTTCATTTTACCCTGAATTTCAGGTTTCAAACACCAGAACTCCCCAGCTGAGAGCATAGATTTATCAGAAAAATATAAAAGAAAAACTTCTTAAAGTTGTAAAGGAGGTAGATGATTACGTTGGCATACCATCCCTTATTTCCAGATTTAATTCCAAACGCCCTCAGTAGTTAAGCAACTCATCTTATCTCTAAAAATGGAAAAGACCATTACAGTGAAAAACGCAACTTTAGCAGTTGCGCTTAATAAAGCCTGAAGAAATTCAGGTTTTCCGGGATCCGACCCCTGCAAAACCGGTGCAGCGCTCTAGCCAGCTGAGCTGGCAAGCCAACTGGGAGTAAATGGGTTCACTAAGGTGATGTTTTCAACCTTGTTGCGACAGTTTTTCGAATGTTCCAACATTGCTCCAACATTGCTACGCAGCGTTGCGCAAAAAAATCGTCGTTGCGAATCTTCCCTTGTAACATCGCCTTTATACCTGGGAAAGGTGATATGGTTTATCGTCGCTCAGTTCAAGGACCTGAAAACTACGCTTGTGAGATTTTTACTGTATACCTTAGGATCTTCTGTCATAAACGTATCTTGCCATGGGAGGTACAGACCAGTTTCTTTCGAAGGAGCACAACGCACGTAGCAGACCCTCTTCTTATCAAAAGTTTGAACAATTTTCGGATCCAGGTGAGAAAGAATGTCGGCTCCTTTAACAAGCGGCGTCTCACCTCCACAATATTCCCCTGGTTCTTGGTGACAAAAGAACAGAACCTACAATGAACAGAGACAACGGGTAATGCGTATGTATCGCACACTTTGGAACGATCTCAGGGACATAACGGTTGCAGTACAAAGGCTAATTAATGTTGAACATGAATGGACAGTGGCACCTTCCATGTTGGTGTCCGAGCCGCGAGTACCGCAAAGAGAACATAAATTGGTCTCCTCTTACATGTACCTGCTACACTTTTTAACTTTTTGTTTATTTTATTTCCTTTATTATAAAGGACGCTGCGTGCTGATATCAGATAAATGACCGACTGAGACGTCGCTAACTTATAATGAGGCGAGCATTGCGATCTTCTCCGTCCACTGGCTCTTCTTCAAAAAGAGCTTTGAAGGAAATCAGCATATTCGTTGCAGCAATTTCTTGTTCTCAATCAATATTTTGCAGCGGTTGCAAACCTCTAGGGCCGGAAGAAGTCACCCCTGGAAAATTTTGACCAGTTGATAAAAGTTAAAATCAATTAAAGGAGAATAGTGACAAAGAGGATTTAGCATCAACCAACCTTTTAGCCTACGAGCAGGCTAACTTATGCTTTACCAGCGCCCATTTCCCTCGATCGTAAACGGTCGAAGCCCCTACTGGTAACCAACCCGTTAGTGACGTAAAGTATATATGAAATAATTCATTTTTGAACTGCGGTTGTAGATGAAAGTGAAGAATGATCATCGCAGTAAATTTTCCAATTTAAGAAGAAGCCTGAAAAAAATCAGGCTTCTTCTTTCCAATTTCTTAAATTGGAAAATTTACTGCGATAATCATTCTTCACTTTCATCTACAACCGCAGCTCAAAAATGAATTATTTCATATATACTTTACATCATTTCACTCCTCACGGGAGATATGAACTCAAAAAATTGACCTCGCTCCCAATGTGTGGCTTCAAAGCTCAATTGGTAGAGCAACGCACCGTTAACGCGGAGGTCACGGGTTTGAATCCCGTTGAAGCCCAGATTTTTTTTCAGGCTTCTTCTTTCCAATTTCTTAAATTGGAAAATTTACTGCGATGATCATTCTTTAGTTTCAAGCCGTTAGTCATGATAGATGTAATATATTCACTGGATTAAACAGGCAAATAATACGTTTTTGAATAGTCTTAGAAAGAACGACGTAGAAGCCCAACTTGAATTTACGCTAAAATGTCAGGGGCACCCAACGACGATTTACCCCTAAATACGTTAAGAACACTTTTGAGACTACCTAGAGTACCTTTAGATGTGTAGACTCTGAAATGCATTCTAAGGCGCGCTATGAAATTTGTATCTGTTCGGTCATCCTAGGGCAACTTGAGCCTTTTCGAACCTACAAGGGCTTCAGAATGATTTTCCCGAAAATTTTAGATGCAATTTACCGTTAAACGAAAGTGAGAATTTTTCTGATTCCTCTCTCCATGAACATTTTTGAATCCGAAAGTTTTAGGTTTCCTTTTTCTGCGAAAAATAGCCTTACCTGGGGAGCGAAATATGAAAAATTAAACGTCAGAAAATCGTAGGGAATTTATTAGATAAGCTTCAATACTGATTGTACATGAATGGAACTGTCATCTAGAATTTCTTAGCCGTTCTCAAGTGTAGGAAATTCTAGGCAATATTTGCTTTTTCGAACAGATATTTTACAGAAAACAGTCGTTGGGTGCCCCTGAAATGTTATGGAAAGGGCTAGGGTCAACTGCTGTTCTGGGAAATGTTATTTTCTAAAACAATGAACTTTTTTCTAATAGATACACTCTCAATAACAGGTAAAAAATGTTTTAAGTGTAGCGACCTTTTACGAAAGGGACAACTGAGTCACAACTGCTTTGCCGGTTCCCGCTGGCGACTCTGCCGTCGAAAAATATCCCGAAGTCACACAAGTGAACCTGCTCGCAGACCACCAATTTTTAGACAAACATATAAGAGAACAACCCACATTCAAGGGTGTCAGCCTGCCTAAAGAGTTTGTAAGTCGTGCAGAAAGGCGCATAATTAATAAACATGTTAATGCACAATTTTATAATTATAATTCTCTGCGAAAAATCGAAAAAGTTCTAAGTTACCTTTGCTGCATATGCAGGACTGTAGGCCATTTCATTGTGAAAATCGATCACGACCTCCGGAGGCTCATCAGTGGCTGTGTATGTGTCAGAGTCATCGACTCTCTTTCTCTCCACCGTGCCAGCTTCATATCTCATAGCCTGGAAACCGAGCCCTTGACACAGGCTTGCAAAGTCATTGGTCGTTTTCAGAGGGAGGTTCCTAAGCAACACCGCGCCATAACGATAAAGATTATCGGTAATATATCTTCTGCAACCGTCAACGAGTTTACTGAAGGGGTGGAGATGAGGGTCTTTGATTTTGACGGCGTGCGGAAACGTTTCTGTCGGCGGTGATAACACTTCCGGGAAACCCCTACCGGTAGAACCAGGCAGAAACGGCTTGCCAGCCAATGCAGATGAAACTTTTGGCTGCGTCTGAGCTGGGTTTAACCTCACAAATTTAAGGCCCTCAATCTCGAGTTCCACTTTCTTTGTTTTTGAAATCAAGGAACGTTTTGGCATGGTGTCAAAAAGAGCTTGGGTGACAAAAAACCTTCTAAAAGATGTTAACAGCATGGTGGCACTGACAAACTATGGAAAGGAAAAGAAATGCCATTTCATTTCGGATGTCCCCTTACAGGAGTTTGTGTGGGAGTTGAAACAGGGGTTTGTGAAGGCGGCCGTAAGTTGAGCAGTCCCCTTACGAGAGTGTCCGTTGAGATTTTCCATTCTATGAAAATTATCAATCACATTCCATTAACATCTCGATCACACTCAAGGTCACACATCCCTTCACAGTCACATCAAAGGTCTTCAAGTCAACGGGCAGTCACATTCAAGAACGACTTTTTTTTACTATCAACAAATCCCATTATGCTTTGCACTATTTTGACGTAGCCCCTAGTGCATGCTAGGAAATATATAAACTCAAGTAACGATTGTAGACTTAATTATATCCATTTTGAAATCACTGGTGATCGCTGCTATATGATTGGCTCTCAGCAGTGTGATTTATTCACCAATCACACTATTTTTTTTTTTATGTAACAGGACGGGGAGGTAAACTAGCAGGAACTAGAAGGATTTAAGGATTTTCCAAAGCAATTTATTTGAAACTCAAATCCATCAACAATACAGCAACAATATAATAAAGAAAAATAAACATAAACGGGAACTACTAAAAGATTAAACCTAACAAAAGAATACAAAGTAATAGAATTACTGATAAAATGTATAAAGTGAACACTTTCACACAGAATAACTCTGCGAGTTTGACATGTGGGGAATCTATACTTTTAAAATATTTCAATTTCTTCTTTTCACTATTTAAGATAACTTTAATTTGCAACTTTTTGCAGGTTTAGGTCAAGTAAAAAAATTATTAGACGTAAAAGTCTACTACACATTTCTTGTCTGGCAGTACAACCAGGGATTCACACAGGACAGCTGCTCAATCAGGAATTGATATTCTTTCAAGGGCCTTAAGAAACTAATTAAAACAACAATCAGCTGCAACAATTTTTTAAATTATCAGGAAGAGTATAAATAAGCCTGCCTTCCCAGGACAAAATTTCTTATTACTGAATCGCTATCATTTAATACCGGTTATGAATAAAGTGCAACATCTTTCAGCCTTACGTGTAGGATTGAAAAAGTAATTTTAATTCTTCTTAATAACTAAGGCAAAACATCAAGCTTATGAAATTAGCAAAAAGATAATATTTTTAAATCCCAATTGCTGCGCGAATAACAGGCCATCTGATAATTACGCGATGGCGGGTGCGATACGGCGGCCATATTGAATTAATTCGATTTAAGGAGTATTATAGGATGCCCAGGGGGCATGAGCACATTTCGTTTGTATTTTCGAGCGCTTTTCGGGACATTTTTTCGTAAAGTTTTCTTAGAATAAGATTGTCATTGGAAAAAAGATCCTTGTGCCTTGTTTGGATGTAATAATGATCGCCTTTTTCCAGAGAAATATACAGTGAAAGACCATATTTCTAATACTAAACTAGAAGTATTACATCCAAACATGGCAGAAGGATCTTTTTTCCCATTACAATCTTATTCTAAGAAAACTTTAAGAAAAAATGTCCCGAAAAGCGCCCGAAAATACAAACGAAATGTGCTCATCCCCCCTGGGCATCCTATAATAGTCCTTAAATCGAATTAATTCAATATGGCCGCCGTATCGTTAAAAAGGTCTATTGACCTCAAATCACATCCAATCGCACAATTTGAGGAAAATCGCGTAATTCGTAAAGAAATGCTGTATTCAAGTAAAGTAAACAATAAATTCTAACTTTAATCAAACATTTTCCCAATCTTAATGTTATTAAGGTGATTTACAACTAAAGAAAGCCTATTGACATCTGAAACCTTCGATCGAGGTATCTGGGTAGCCATTTTGATTTCAGAGACAAGCAGTGTGATCAGCGGTTTAACGGCGTCATTTAATATGAAACAAAGAGTCCTTTTTCTTTCTTTCTATTTGTTTCTTTTTCAGGGTCAAGGTTATTGGACAAATTTTTTATTATTCTTTTACATTCAAATTGCCTGTTTAATAACATTAAAGTGATTTTTCTGCTTTGAAACCTGGTAAAACAATGTTACTTAGCCCTGAATAAATTGCATAATTTATCGCACAATACTCTATCTTATCGCACAATCTACCCTGAAAATATCGCACAATTTCTGATTGTTTTATCGCACCCTATCAGATGGGCTTGAATAACATGATATCTGACACGTAGACGGATAATAATCTTGAATCTAACGATACAATGTTAGTCAAGAAACCGAAATTAAAATTACCTTCTTTTTATCCACCCGTCGGAAAGCAGCTCTTGAATTTTCCTCTGCTAAACGCCCGTAAAGAAGATTTTCTGAAGCGGACTGTTTGTCTACTTTGAGCTCTGTCATTTCAAGCAGGATTGCGAAGTTCGCGTCTAAATACTAAAACACTGAATATGAAACATTTCAGCGTCGTTGGGCGTCCAATAAATTCAGCGTTTCTTTTCATAGTGCTGGCAAAAAAATTCACATTCCAAATAATCGAAGAGGCACTGTCAACAACAATTGATAGCATGACTTCAATGGTGAATGCTGGTGCCAGTCAATCTACAATAAGGAAACAAAAGATGTTTGTTACACTCACTAATTGAATCGATCAAAAACAAACAAGAGTGGCTGAAAATAAACTTTTCACTTCAAAGAAATACGTACCTTGAAATAATTTACCTGACTTGCCAGTAGCCAGGAATATTATCAGTCAAATTTCAATAGTTCAACAGTATGAACAGGAGAAAATTGCGCGTATGATTGTTAACCCAAAAAAACGAAAAACAAAATTTAGTCATCTGTCTTACGGAGGTTAGGACGAATTTTCGCAGCGTTCATAGACGACCGTACGGGGAGAATTTCAGATGCGTCATAGCAATGTCGGTAAACAAGCTTAACTGGAAAAAAAACAAGTCTCGCTGGTTAAGTTACGTAAACCGGATATATGATTTCCAATATCTGTCTTTTATTTTTATGTAAACTGGTTTCTGCAAATGCCAAGGGATTAAAAAATCTTTGCCATCATTGGACAGCACTTCTTTAACCCAATTAATGCGGTCCCAGGGGAAAAACACACGCCTCCTGGAAATAACGAGAGGATGATCCCCTAAAAACAAAACGAGAAATTCGATGAATGTACAGAACAAACTGGCCTAGTTCCTACTTATTGCAAGTGAAATAGCGAAATTACAACGAATAACAACTGTATAGAATTACTTAAATCACTAAACAGAATTAGAACTAAGAATTCGAAAAGACTAAACTGAGACTAAATTATTCGGTAATTAACGAGGTCAAGTACTTTACCTTCCTAGAAGCAATAAGTCGGGCTTGTTAACTTTACAACTACTGCAGTTTCATCAGTGATGTCCAAACTTAACTGAAATACGGCTAAAACGTGCCTCTACTTATACGATAGCCTGCGTAGCAGGCGTTTCCAATCGAGTTATTGCGCGAAAGTTAGAGCGGAAGCGAAAAAAAATAAAAGGTCATTCCTTTTTTTGCTCTCTTCCCAACTTTCTCGACGAACTCGCGCGGAAACGCTTGCTACGCAGGCTACTTATACGAGACTATTACACAATTTTGCACGTAGCAAAACAGTAAGAGGTGTGTTGCCAAACCACAGTAACAAAACGCCAGGATTTTCTTAGGTTAACCTTGAAAAGATAAGGTCAATTGAATGATTAAGACAATCTACCGAAAAAGAAAACCACAAAAAGCTAACATCCGCTACGGCATTTAGGCAATAATAGTCCGGGGATAATAGTGACACTGTCACACACATCTCCCCTGCGAGCAAAGGTTTCTCTCTTGCACGGCTTTTAGCGTTTACGAAGTCGTTCGCGTGGCTTGTCTGTCGCGTGGTTAGTTTGTTTCCGCCTTGTTTCTCACGGGGCATAAATAAACTAACAACGCGACAGGCAAGCCACGCGAACGACTTCGTAAACGCTAAAAGCCATCCAAGAGAAAAACCTCTGCTCGCAGGGTAAGCCACATTTGTTCTAAATCACGTCATTTCTGCATTCAATCATTTCTGTTCTAAATACAAAATGAGATGTAAAAGGCTTTTTGTTTCCGCTTTTCAACAAACCGGCTACTAAATCAATAAAATATTGGTACTGAGTGAATTCTGCGATTTAAAAATGGCTGTAATTGAACTTCGTGTCGTGCATGCAACTTTGGTCATTTCAAATCGAACTCGCGCCGCGCGCTAGTCCGATTTTGAAATCACGCGCATGATTTCAGACCGCCGATTCAGACCAAATCAGTTGCACTCCAGTCAGTTCAACTACCATTATTAACTACGGTTGCAACTTTATTTTAATGATTAACTTGTTGTGATAAATTGATACTGAGGTACTAGAAATAGTGCTAATTCTACGCACCCGTCTACGCACAATTTGTGTAGATAGTGCTTGACGTTCACGATGTTTACTATACTTTTTGCGCACTGCTGTACTGTGTGGGAATATCGAGCAGTGTAAAAAGCTTATATTGTAAAATGACTTCATATTTTAAAAACCAGTCATTATAAGCGTAAAAGTGTCTTTTTCTTTTCTGTGAGACACCAACAGGCTCTTTCCTGTGCCACAACTGCAAAATAAAGGCTGACACGTGCATATTGAAGCTTCCCCTCGATCACTGTAAACTTCAAAGCTTTTTCAGAATACTGGTTTTTGGTTTTTAGTTATTACTTTTAGGAAAGTTTGACAACAAAAAACTTCAGGTGAATAGACGATGGAGAGAAATGAGAGAGCGATTAAAAGACTTCGGCTGTGGATATTTTCGACCGTAATATAAAAGCGGAGGAAGCAAGAAAGATCTGGCCCCGGCATAGTCGTCTTGATAAGACTTGACTCAAACACTCTTCTTCATATATTTCCGCATATTCATCACCGTCAGTGTTGAGTAAAATGCCACTATTTTGAGTTCAATACATTTCCCAGTAGCACTGACAAGAACAATGAGATATGTTGACATTAAAAAAGTCGTTCTTGAAATCAATATGTGACTTTGAAAGTGCGATTTAAAATTTTAAAATTAAAACAGTAAACTGATCCTTACGGCAGGAAGAGTAATAGAAAAAAATAAAGAAAGAAAACAAATTAAAATAAAATGGTGAATTATATTTGCCCGACATTCCGCCTGTTGAATCTTCAGAATCTTATTAATTTCCATGTGTCAGACATGAATTTGTTTGATTGCAATTGTGATCAAATCAGAGTTCTTGAATTTTGTGACCATTTGGCCTTTCATAATCGACACCGATGGAAAAAGAGCCTTAGAATAAGGTAACTTACCCAAGTTTAAAGATGATACGTCCAAGGGAGCGATCAAGATGTTGCTCAACAAAGTCGCGAAAGTCCCTACCTAATAATACAAGATGTGAGCCTAGTTAAACTGGTTTTAGAAGAGTCCTGAAAGTAATCTCTTTTCATACATGTTGTTATTTAAACATTTTTCATGTATGTAACGTAATCCAATGTAAATAGATTTTCCTTTATCTTTTAGCCTGTTCCAGGCGTTCAGATAGCAGAGCTCGGAGAAAACATTCACGAAGAAAAAAAAACGAGGGGAGACTAGAGGGGGAAAGGGAGAGAGAATTCTCTCGCACTCACCCCCCTGTCCCCCCCCCGTTTCCCCGGTGTACAACTTAACTCGCTCCCCACTTACCGCAGCGCTCTACTATCTGAACGCCTGTAACAGGCTATTTATCTTTCTTCATTGCCCCAGCAGAGATTTCGCCTAGGAGGCAAAATCCCGAGGAGACACTCTAGTTGCTCGCGCCATCAGAAGGCTCCTGCTCACGCGTTTATTAAGGAAAGTACTTACAGCTGAAATATACCGTCGGTATGCCGGAAAAAGTCTCGAGTTGCTTGAACAGGGGCCGCATGGAATCGTTGGGTAATGATGAAGTTTCTTTTGTTCGCGCCCTCAAGTAAGGGATGGTTAGGATGACGTAAATGACGTAAAACAGAAAATCCCAAAGGGATTGCTTGAGAAAGCATGAGCATGCGCGACCGCTGAACAAGCGATGTGCATGGAGGCTCACCAGAAGGTCTGCCTTCATCAAAATGGCGTGTCTCAAAGCTATCATTCCGATTATTTTGCTCGTTGGTCTTGGCGAATGTGCTCGTGATTTAACAAAATGTGTAGTTTGTAAAAAAAAATCTAACATGGTCTTAACAAAAGCGACGTAGACTCGGCCGGCTTTAACTCTTTAACGTACCACGAGCTATTAAATTTCATCTCCCGACTTGACCTGGAAAACAGTGCAAGTAAATGTAGTGCTTGTAGGATTGCGCTGACTTCATCAAAGTCTAAACAAAGTACTCAAACGTTTGTTGATGTAATTAAACACTTTCAATTTTCTTTGTTTTGAAATGGGAAAGGAACACAAATATTAAAAAAAAAACATAGCAAATTTCAGCGAGTGGGTTCGAAGTGCGCAAAAGCCGGTGTTCAGTTCAGCAGTGAGTTAATATATGTCATTCATTCAAAATACTTCCCCAATTCTTATTGGCTAAAAGCACACACATGATTCTCCATAACCAGCTACTGATGAACAAATCTTGAAGAATTTTGCGATTGATCAACCCATGACGTGAAAAGTGTAGCTTCGTTGCAGGTTAATGCACCGTTAACCAAGAAGACCTGGGGACGAGGTTGAGTTGTTTTGGTTGTGAAAACAAAAATGGCGGATATTTCTCTCATTTCAAGAGTAAGAACTAGGCGAAATAAAAGCTAAAAACATGGTGAGAACAGTAAGAGGACAACTCGAAGGGCGACATCTGCTAACTGGAGAATATTTGCGGAGCTGAACAACCCTAAACGTGCACTATCGAAAATGAACTTAACATCGATGGAGGTAAGCATGTTTTAGCTATGTTTTTAAACTAGGAATGATTTTGAAGGAATAATAAAACAATTATTGAATTCGGCTTTCGCATCATATGAAGAATTATGGAGATCTCGGAGGGTGTTATCCGCCTCGGCCTACGGCCTCGACGAGTAACACCCTCCTCGATGTCCATAATTCTTTATAAGATACTCAGCCTCATTTATTAATTGTTAATTCTACAATTTTCCCAGCACTATAAAGCTACCAAATTAAGAGCACACGAGACGTAGATTAGTCACCTGGTGAGATGTTGGTGGTAGTCACTCCGTATGTCTCGAACAATAAAAGAAATGAATATCAATGAGACAGTCAAAACTGCATTCAGTAGGACCGAAATTAAAGTCGAATCCTGTGACCGATTTTGATGAAACAAACGGTTAGGTTTCCCAAGAAGTATAGTAAACATGTGATGTCGACCAAAAGTTAAAAATTATTAGAGCACTCAAGTTCTGGATAAAAGCAAATTCCTGTAAAAGATGCGTTACGATGTTAGTCCACTCAAAAACAAGAAGTTAATTCTACAATTTTCCGATAAACAAACTTTGTATCACTAAAATACTTAATTAAACAACTTTCTATTCCAATTGATAACGGCGTGGTAGTCGCCCGCTGATCGTAATTAATCAACTCCCGAAATATGGCTAATATAAATGAGCTATTCACAAATTATTGACAGAAATCCTCTAAGGCATCGAGAAACTAATTTACATCCGATTTATAGCCAAACACTAAATAAAGAACATTTTGCTCAATAGCTGCCCATCAGCAATGCATTCTACGCCAAACTTTGCTGTTCTTGAAGGGAATCAAGACACGAGTCGAGCGCCAAACAACAAGAAGCAGCCATGTTCGAGTCAGACATCCTTGAGAAACTTGCTCTTTCCCCTCGATCAGCGCATCAGTCTCCACTTTAAATCACCAGATCTTTACTTATTTTGTACAACGAAGGTCTTTCGTAAGTTCCTGATACCATTTGAATCTCAAGAAAGCTTTCAGAGTAAAGAATTTGGTTCCTATGACTATGCACCACGGTGGCTGTCACTGGTCGCGTGCTCTTTATCAAGTCTTAGTGCGCATGCTTGTGCATAAAAGACCCCGTTGGCTCTGTTCGAAGGCCGATTAGCGCTTAACCCGGGTTTCTCTTTCTTGTATTCAGGAGCATTTTCTCGGAATATTTTCTCTGTTACATTTAGAGCTTTCAATCATCAATTTGCAAACAAAAAGAATTAAAACTGAAATGCTTTTTAAGCTTTCAAATCTGAATTCAAATCTCGTACTAACCCTGGGTTGTTATCTTAGCCCAGCTTTAAACAACTCGGTCCTGTTCTGCTTGAGTAGATTTTGTGACGTTTATTGAACAGTCATCCTTCGATATTCTTTTGCGTTACGGGTCATCAGTGACATTCTTAGGAGCAGTTGTTTTGAAAGTTATGGACCAAAAGACACTCGTTAAGCGCAAATGAAGTTATAAGGTGCGTATAACTGTTTGGAGATTTTGCAAGACACGAGCTCGCAAATCTTTGATTGGAAAAAAATTGCCAGACATTCTTTCTCTCTCTTTGAGGAAATAAGACTCACCCCAGGTGAGAGGCAGATCGCACCTATAGGAAGGGGCTCTGTGATTTGTTACTGCTTAAATGCTTTGTTATTTATTATGTGTAGATGCGTACATTGAAGAATTTAAAGTGGTATACAGGGCAAAACAGTAAATGTTGTTCAGGGTACTCAAAAAAGGCACTAAACTGAACCTTGGAGCAATAATATGTGTATATGTCCGATATTTTGGGTTGTAGTAATGACTTTTGCAAGGGTTTTCAGGGTTGTAGGGATTCGCGTGTTTTGCTCGACGGACTAAGAAAAAACAGGGGCACCGCAACGAGGATATAGTTCAAAACCACTTAAACATAGCATGGTTAAACGTATTTTATTATTTAAACGGTAGATATAGGCATATTTTTGTCCCCCTAAAAATTTTTCATCTGTTCGGATTTCCTAGCTGAAAGAAAATCATAGGGATCAAAACTTACCTTTTCGAAATTTCAGCCAGAAAAAAGGCTCCCGAAAATTCCAGGTGACCTTCTTAGGGCAAAAATCCGTTAAAAATGGGCAATTATACCACTTTTTAGATGTTCGAAAATCCTAGGAGAGGCAGGCAAGCAAGAAATTTTACAATAAATGTTCCGAAAATTCTAGATCTCAAATGGTCTTCCGAACAGACATTTGCCGAAAATTGACGTTGGGCGCCTGAAAAAAGAGAGGCTTTTTAGTCTAGCCAGGGAAAATTTTTGAAAATTTTTGATCAACACGTTTTGTTGATGTTTTGATTTGTATTTTGATAAACACAAGCGCGCCTTCTCATTGGTTGAAAAGTGTCGCGTGACCAGTTGGCCCTGTCCTTAAATTTAGGGATATTCCGGACTGATAAACCAGTATTTCGTCGTTTTTGACAAGTTGTGATTGAACACTCACGATTTCAGCAGAACTGTATTTTTGTGTAGCGAATTCAAGTTAGGCCCTTTTCAAACGTCGTGCTACTGCCGTGCCGAACACAATTGATCGAATTAAATTCGACTTTAGCACGGCAGTAGCGCGACGTTTGAAACCAAGTCGTGCTACTGCCGTGTAGCACGGCAACAGACGGCAAGCCTTGCCGTGCTACACGACAGTAGCTCGACTTGGTTTCAAACGTCGTGCTAACGCTGTGCCGAACTCAATTCATGAATTATAAATACATTAGAATATATTTAAAAGTTTGCTAAACCGTTTCTTTTTTTGTGTGTTTTGTTTTCGGCAACAGCTGTTCCATTCGACTGTCACTGTGTGAATTAAATTCGACGTTGAAACCAAGTCGTGCTAATGTCGTGCTGCAGTCGAGCTATAGTCGAGCAAGCTTAGCACGGCAGTAGCACGACGTTTGAAACAGGCCTTAGGGAATATTTACTCTGGAGTAAATTTTTGAGGGAAAAATGTTTGCGATAATTTTTATTTGCGGGTCACTGAAAAAACCGCAAAAATTTCGTGCCAGTCGCGGCATGTTCTCGAACATATCTGTGACTTTGCGGACCTGATTCTTGGTTTGTTTTCAACAAATCACTTTCACTCTTGGCAGCGTTACTGATTTTCAGGCCTTCTTTCCAGTAGTGTTAAAGGATTTTCCCTAGCTGGTACCGCTACAGACAAAAGTTGCAAAAAACCTTGTAACGGATTTTGTTTCTAATGCAAATTGCGAATCCTCATTAGCTATGGAACTTTGAAAATTGCTTGTGAATGACAAAATCCCACAACTTCATGTCAACTAGCCTGCGAAAACATCCGTTTTCCACGCTCTTTGTCGCTGTGGACGTTTCGCGCGAAACGTCCTCAGCGACGAAGAGCGAGGAGAAACGGATGTTTTTGCAGGCTACATGTCAACCAAATAATGTCTCCCAAACCTTATAGCAAACGTTAGAAACAACAAAAATTAACTTTGAAAAACGCTTCATAGGCTTAAACGTTTTCATAAACCACAATTGCAAGCCGTTTTAATCTTCAAGTTTATCCATGCGTGCCTAACTTTTGGTATTTGCTCTTATTTATACCTTCTCTTCACAAGTTTTGAGCATTTCTTTTTCATGTTACACTCAGTAGTTTGGAGGCACTCTTTGAATTTTGGTAAATTTTGTGACACGGTTGGAGCAGCGATGCAACAAATCACTTTCACTTTTGGCAACTGTACCGACTTTCAGGCGTTCTTTCTAGCCGTAGCTGTGACAACGTTCCTTTAAAGTAATGCAGCCTTTTAATGTCTTCACCCAGGTTGCAGTTGTAAACGAATTTTGTTGGTAATTCTATATTTTTCAGTGTGCTGCATCGTGCTACTGTTACGCAAGAGGTCTGATCACCTAGATGTTTCTCACACCGGCCATGTCACCATAGTGTGTCGTAGCTAAGCCAGGTGTGTCGGGGCGTGAACATTAGTTGTTCTCATTTCACTGTAGAGTGATAAGAGAAAAAAAGAAGTTTATACTTGAAAAACCGGTACACACAAGTTTATATATTGGAGAAGCCACCGTGCCGTTTATTCAACATATATGCAGATATGTACAAATATCAAGTAGACCACCAAAGCACACGAAAACCCCAAAAACCAGCTGGAAAAACACGGGGAACGTTTGGTGCAACCCTTGCCAAACTATAAACATCAATAAACACACGAATCAAATGATAATTTATCCGGTGAAGGCTGCCGTAATATCAGCTCAAAATCCCATGACTCACTGCGCAATCTGATGCGTGCCGGCAAAATAGTAATTTATGATAATAGCGGTGTAATCACAAATTACATTTTGAACGCGCGAAATGACCGTAATTTCAGCAACTTTTAGTCTGACCAATTTGCAACTTTTGTTTGATTTTTGTCATTATTTGGCTTTTCTGCACGGGGTCATGGAGCCGTGAAAGTCTCGCCTTTCAGGGACAGGGGCATTGTCATGTGACAATCCCTATTGTTTTCCCAGCTAATCAAAAACAATCTTTCAAATAGGTGAGGGATCGCCCGAAAGTCTTGACTTTTTGACAGTTTGTGAGAAAATGAGCCGTACGCCACAAGATCATTCTTTCACGTCTAATTACACGAAAAACGCCCTTTGATTCGAGGGCTCCTGTAACTTGGGTTGAAGATAAAAAAGGGAGTCTTAGGGCTCTTACCAGGTGTCAATAAAAGCCGGTCGAACCAGACATTTTGAAAGTAAAACGATGTTTACTCAGTTTTTTTTTCACCACTACCAAGCATACCATTTAAGAATAGACTGATCTGCCTGGACAGTCCTGATTAATAATGGAAATCTCTTTACCACTGGAAAATAGTTTGGGCCAGATAGATAGAGAGATATTTACAGAGATATTTCTAGAGATGTATCTCATTTAGCCACGTTAGGTTTATCAGCAAAAGCGCTGGTTTACGTAAAAGCCGTGTGAAAAAAATTTAAATATCTAGCAGACAGGGTGCAAAGAAAATCATTATTACAGCTTGCCATTCGGGCAAGCTGCAGCTAGCATTTGCTAGCCCAGACATTATTTCAACTAGCCCCAAAAGCGTTTTGACGAGCAGAATTGATTTCATAGTTCTTCTGTTATTGGAATTCCTAAAAACACATCACTTAAATGAAGCTTATTTATTTATGTGTTTATTTTTGCCGTTTCATGGTTTTTTGGCGTTTTTATCATTTTTTAAGGCAGCTTTATTGCAACCAAAAGACAATTTTCAAGGCATTTTAAAAGAGCTTCACTCATAATGTGTACAAGATAAAAGGGCTGATGAACTTATGAGAGTAATTTTGACGAAAGATGCAAGCACAAGAGGCACTGAGATGCAGTTTGTCTGTGAGTGTGCAAATACTGTACGTAATTGAGCTTTAAAGCGGAACAAACAAACCAAACAAACTGACTTTAAAGGGGTAACAAAATTACTGGTAAATGTGACCCCCTGATCATGACTTATCATGTTCTAGGATCTCAGATAGTGGGTGAAGACGCGAAAGAAAAAGGCACGCGAAAAGTTGGCCCGCCTCTCCCCAGTTTCCTTCCGTGTTATTTTCGTGTTTGCGCTTACTCAATTCAGCGGACCCGACTATCTCGGAGCCTGGAACAGGCTAATCAAGACTTGGCGAAGAATTCCAACTGGCCGGAGGCAAACCAGTTGGCCATATGCAAGCGTGACCAAGGCGTTGAACTCTGGACTATCGAGAACAACTCCAGAAAGCGGTAACAGTAGGCCCCTGGATTAAAATTCCAATGCTCTTACAACTCAGGGCCTGTTTACATGGAGGTGGGGTACCCCAGATAGGTGAGGTAACCCGCTTAGGTGGGTAACCGGCCTGTCCATATAATCTCTCATTTTAATGTGATCACGTTTACATGTTAGGTGGGGTAACCCGGCACATGTTACCTCACCTATCTGGCGTCCCCCACCTTCATGTAAACAGGCCCTCGGTTACGGAACTGATGAACCAGGTTGAATTTTAAATTTGTCAGTGCTTTTGCCATCTGCTAATGCACATAATGCACAGCGTGCCACTTAAGCCAATTCAAAATGGCGCCTCACAGCTAAGTTACCACTTGTTCACGCAGATTTAGACGGTTAGGGTGTCGAAGTTTCGACCTTACCGGCTAAAAGGTTGACCTAACGTTTGCCATTCAAGAGTATGCGTCCACATTTTCTTATGTTGAGGACGGCTCCGTGTAAAAGGAACATTGAAACGAACGAATTTTTTATTTAGTAGAAAATTCGTCCTTTTTCGTGTGAATGTAAGTAGTATAGCAGAGATGTTTTAGACCCCTTTTTGCGCAGGGATCTCTTTAACTTGCACAGGAATACACTGACGTCAATGACGTAATTCTTTTTCTCATGAATAACAAGAGGTGGAATCTCGTTAAGATATAAGGTCACGTGCTATTTTTGGGAGGGTTCCTTAAAGGTTTTCCAGTAGTTTTTAGGTCGATGAATATATCGGGTTTTTAATGTTTGACTACAGATATAAGTTAAGATATAAGGTCACGTGCTATTTTTGGGAGGGTTCCTTAAAGGTTTTCCAGTTGGTTTTAGGTCGATGAATATATTGGGTTTTTATTGTTTGACTGTAGAAGAAATATGCATGAAACGCTCGGCCCTTTTCAAGAGGTACGACTCGTACAAGTCGTGCAACTGGTTACACTTTATCTCATTAGCGAAACTTGCTGGTCAAAATTAATCTTACAATTCTGTGCTAACACATTCGTGTAAGTTGACGGGAAAAAGGAGAAAACTGCAGCCACTTTCTCCTAGCTGAAAGGCTGTTCCTACCCAAAGCTTTATTGAAAGAAACTGGAAAATCAGCTACCAGCGGCAAACACAGTTAGCGCTATAAGGAGAACTTTACTGCATGCATTTTGTAATTCAATTGTCTCCTACTTTTCTACTTTACCACCTGGAAAGTACTTCTAATCGCCCTTTTTTCAGCTGCAATGAAAACACTTGTGCTTTGTAACATCTTGAAGATTCCTGGTTTTGCTTTCACATTCTCACGGGCAATAGGTCACTTCCGAGTTATAAAAACCCTTTCTTTCAAAATGAGGCCACCTGCAAAACCTTTCTTGTGAAAAATCTTTTCCATATCAAAGGCTCTTCACTTAACCTCGTTTTGATACAGAGGCCCGGGGGAACTCGAAAATTGCCTATTTGCAGCTTGGGGATTGATAGTTAGTATAGTACAATGGTCATGGAGCCTGTCAGATTTTTTTGTTTCATGTTTTTGTAAGCGTTTTTTCAACTTGACCGTGCACAATGCTCAATAGCATTCCTGTCATTTTGATCTTTATACTTACTAATAATGACCTACTGGTTCTAACACAATGGAAAGGTCCATTAAATCCCATTTTTCGGATAATGCCCTCCATCCAAGGCCTTCTAAAAAATTATAACCTCGCGCTAAGCGCTCGGTCATTATTTTTAAGAAGCTTCGGAGCTTAGGCATTATCCTATATAAATTGTCAATGTTGTCAATTGTTAATGTTTCCGGAATGTTTTAAACAACCATTCTATTATGTCCCTTAAACGTTCTACAAACCGCTGGAAGCGATAGACCTATTCGGCTAACTCAATGTTGTACCCAATTCAAACCGTTTGGGAATAAAACGTTTTGTTTCATTTTTCCATTTAAATGGAATGTTATAATGCAAATCCATTCTTATCCCGTGAGATTTGAATTGTTCAACATTGAAACCGCTGAATAGGTTTTTCAAAAAAAAAAAAGTAGTATATGTGCATCATCACAGGGTAAAATAAAATTTGCTTAGCTCTTTAAAAATTTGTAAGGCTACTTCCACGAAAACAGCCATTGCGCAAAATTCGTAAACTGATTTTCTTCTGAAATTTTTAGGGCATCAAATGATCAATGTACTATACATATCCCTGTATTTTATGTCCATTGAAAACTTTAAAAGTTGTAAAACGTACAGGGAAAATTGAGTAACCAGAACCCGGGACCACCGGATTGCGAGTCCAACGCGATGACCACTCGGTCATGCTGCCTCCGCTAATAAAATTTAAGGTGCTGAGCGATCAACTTTTGATGGGGAGGGGGATTAACCTGGACAAATAACTTTTTCTACGCCTAGTAATGTCAACGAAATTGACTAATTTTTGGGTGTGAATGTAAGAGTACTAACCCTATGCAAAGTTTTTCATACCAGGTTTGTTAGGAATTTTTCCCCTAAAATCATCCAGCCACTCCGTTCGATGATCGGCCTCTGAAGTTAAGTAACGAGTTGGAACAGGTTTTAGAAAGCTGTGGTTTACTCTATACAAGGATATCGCCATTATACACTCCTCATAAACTATGTCTTGTAGAATGAGATCAGCGCGTCCATCTTATACTCACACCTCATCTGCCGACATAACAAAACAATCTGGAAAGTTCCTAATCCTTTCGCGCGTCCATAAGTTTCAGACTCTAGTGAGATTTAAGACGCGACGGCGTGCGGGCGAACGACGGGTGAAACGGTTCATTCGTTTGTGCACCCGTCTACGAGTCTTTCTGGTTAGCACCAGTCCCACTACGACGTTGTCGGATTCTTTCTCGCCAGTCTCCCTTGATTTCTTGAAAATTGGGATTATAAGCTGCTTGTCCACTGAAAGAAAATGAAAAATACATCATTTGAGTTTTGCTTGTGTTTAGTATAGGGAACTTAAGCAACGGAGACACCGACGGCAACGAGAACAGCAAAAAGAACGGCCGCGGCAGCGTAGGCGACTTGCTGATAGTCTACGGGCAAGCTTTTAAATAATATCGGGAAATCGACAGTGTCTATAGGGACTAATCTGCTTTGTCTAAGAAGCACAGCGCGTTGGAAGTCATGTTATTACAGCAACGCCGTATCACTGGACCTAAATGCCATCTGCTCCTGATATCGATACCGATGCTCGATACCCGATATCTGCTGTCGATACCTTATCAGGTTTTCCTTATGTTATTACAGCAATGCTGTCTCACTGGACCTAAATGCCATCTGCTCCCGATATCGATACCAATACCCGATACCCGCTGTCGATACCTTGCCAGATGTTCCTTTTTCCATTCTTCAATTTGCTTATGTGGATCGTTTTCCTCCTCCTCTTCTTCACTGCTTCCAAGGAATGGTTCTTCTTGCTGCTTTATACTCTGCCACTTTTGGACCAGCGAGGAAACTTTTCGCGCCTTGGATGAAAGCAGGGAAGTCCCCACCTTGGAAGACTGTGGGAAAAAAAAAAGAATAAACATTGGGCAAAAAGTTGACGATAATTAAACAACAGTTATGGGAGAGATTTTTGAAGCACCGGCTTGTTTGCTGCTAACGGCACAAAGCATCACGTGATCAATGTTCACGTTTTTCATTTGCACTTCCCAACGTGAGAAATGTCTTTTACACGTCCGTAAACGAGAAGATTATCTTCATGTTTTGATTCTTTTTTGGCTCACTTAACAACACTACTTGTCATCCTTGGAGTCTTTCGCATTTCACTGTGATTGAACTGTAAATGAAAAATGAACGTGCATTCGCGTACCTCGAAAACGCGTTAAGGAAGCGTACAAAGGCAGTGATAATTCCACAAAACGTGTTAAAAGCTTTGCAAACCATAACCATAACTCCCCACGCATGCCACAGTTCGTGTTTACTTCACGACGCACCAGACGAGTTAGCGTTTGCATTATGCGGTAGAAACGGATGCGTAATCTCTCAGTGATTTTTTGTGTTGCTTGCCAAAACGAATACTAGACACGACGGCAAAGGCAGAGCTCAGCGTGACAACATAGCATGACAACAAAGCGTGACAGCACAGCATCACAACATAGCACGACAGCACACCATCACAACTCGCTTACCTTTTTCTTCTTTTTAACTTTACTTTTTGTCGGTACTTCTACGGGAAGTGGCGGTCCAGAGTCCAGAGTTTCCTGAATTCAACAATTTATAATGGTTACCATAAGTGAAATTGGCTATTACTTCCTCTTTAACTGGCCAAAACTTTTCACACCATCCTCTCTGCCCTGTACGTTAGCAATGCAAATATGTTCACGCTATTTGTCTCGACTTCGAACTACGGTGGAGTCACCATTCAGAGGACACCCTCGGAATCAGGACACCTGTTCCCCAAATGGAGATGTCCCATCAATAGAGGGGACTCATACAAAGATTATATGGACTATTGAGGGGCGGGGGGGAGCAAATTTTGTATCAGTCTTGCGACACTGTTTGTCTTCTAAGCTAGTCCAATTCACTATCGGATGGAGCAATTTCTCGGATCATGGTTTTCAGAAACCCTTACGTAAGCCAGTAAGGGTCTATGGTATCGATGCGAGAGCAAGTAAAATGAAGGCAATTTTGGAATCTCACAAAACATTACCTGTGCTGGAGTTCCAGTACTTTGAGACACAGCTTCAGTCGCAAAGGAAGGAGGGGGACTTGCACTAGCAGTCTCCAAATCAGAGTAATCCACAAGAGATCGAGCCTGCAGCGCAGGCTTGCTTAGTAAGGTCGTAACTGTTGGTTGTCCACTAACAAATGGCGATGGTACCGTTGTGGCTGTTACATTTGGTAGTAAATCGTCCCGGGGAGGAGGGGGTGGGGCCTCTGATGGTTCGGGGGGTGGGGGTGGTGGTGCAGAGGATTCGACCGGTGGAAGAGGAGGAAGATCGTCGGTTCCTGTGGTTAATTGAATCGTAATGTAATGTTAGTGTTATGTACAGGTGAGCCGTGGTTGTAAACGTAGAGAAAGATAGAAAAGGACTTTACCAGTCGTCATTTTAACTGATTTAAAAAATAATAGTAATAACCAAAGGTTACGGAGTTCGGGCAACAACGATCGAAGGTCAAAACGCTTTTGCTCAAACGCTGGGCTGTGCGCAAGTGGTCAAAATGCGCGTAAAAAAGTGTTTGCTTAAGCTCCACAAAATTCCGCGACCACTCCGCTCGCTCCCCTGCAGGAGAGCCTGTTCGAAGGCAAGTAGTCCCTTAAATTCCTTAGAAACAGAAGAGCCAGCGGAAAAAATATCGAGAGCGCGTAAAATCGCAACCTGGGAGAAGAGGGGGGAAGTTGGAACTTATTGTAGCAGCCCTTTAAACCTTTCAAATATGAAAAAACACTTTTTCCTTTCAGATCAGCAAACGTTCAAATAGACAATAGTTGAGCTTACTTCAAGAGAAATAAAGTGCACCTCTCATTTAATACACGCACACTGGTCATGGTAACATGTTTAAAATATCTTGTCAACATTTGCCTGTGATAACAATTGGCGACAAAACAGCTCTTTGATCTTTTATTGACCCATCAACGTTTTAACAATAAAAGTACCTGGAGGAGGTGGTGGGGATTCGTCATCTGCTTGTGAATACGACGAAGCAGTAAATGGAATTGCCTCGGAGCCTCCATCCGTTCCAGGAACTGGTGGATTCACAAACGTTTCTAAAACAAGTAAACAAACTGAGTAAAACAAGTCTACCCAACTATTTTAGCTCTCCTCTAAAACTCAACTTCAGATTTCTCTGGTCTCTGGTCTCTGGATGAGTCATACATTTGCAGGTGTAGCTACATTCAGTGCTTGCAGTAAATAGAGCAACTGTAATATTACCTTTTAGAGACAAATGCATTAAAACAATCAAATGATTTCCCCAAGTTGCTCAAGAAATGCCTTTCTTAGGTTTTCTGATATTTCACGGGTTGGTGTTAAAGGTGTTCTCACATACCTGTTTTCACTGATGAAGAGACCACAGGGGCTGTCGCCATGACAACCGGCATCACTGGTGCTTGAACCATCGGCACGTATGCTGACAAAGGGAAAAACAGAAACTTTAAAAAGAACTTCATTGTGATAAAACTAGCCTTGTTTCAATGTGTTAACGTTAAAGCATCTGAAAAACCATGCAGCCTCCAGTAGCCTGAGGAAACAGTTGACGCCACCACAGGAACCAGCGCAAAAATGTCATACTGTAACGCGTCAGTTCACAGATCTGGGTACTGCTTCTAATTGGTTGACACGAAATTCCCTCGCAGTACACAAGAATCACGCGCAAAAATGTATGATGTTAATGAAACTGCTGAAACAAGACGTGTCTCCCTGTTTGAATTTCGATAAATTCCGTGACACGGCTCTTTTAATGGTGTCGTAATATGAGGTACACAATCTCACCTGGATAGCTCCAAACTGGGGCACTCTCCTGTTTGTTTGTTACTGTTATTGGTGCTGCTGCTGGTGGTGGTGCCAGGGGGGCTACTGAAATCTCCCCAGTTGTCTCTTCTGAGGGTGCGTCTACATCCATATCCCCACCAAACTCATCTGCGGGATATTCCCATTGCGAGTCACCAGTTACCTTGTTTGTGTAGTAGTAATGCTTGTGTATTCTGTTGAAGCAAACAAATGAAAAAACCGAAGAATGAGAGTTGATCTCCTGACAGGACATCTTCTATTGATAAAATAATTATATGGCGAGCACTGATATCGAGTTGAATATCATCTTTCATTCTAATGTGTCACGTACCAAAGTAAATGTTCTGTAGAGAGAATCAACTCCCCCATTGCTCAAGGTTTGCCTACCTTGAAGAGGTGTCGAACGAAAGATGACTTCAGTAATCAATAAAAGTGCTCGAGCTAAGATCTTTGGCAATAATGATCCTTGCATTCTACACTGAATCAAGAATCTATTACCAACACAATAAACAGTACAATGAAAATCTCTTATATTTACCTACATTAGAAGGAGCACAAGGTGTATACATACAGATTCCCACTGACCTGATATTGTCCGACTTTGTTTCTTGACTTGTGCTGTGGGTCTTGCGCTGACAGCCACACGGTTTAAGTCCAGTATCCAGACGTGCCACGGGATTTCGAGGCCACAAGATAGATTACACCACAGACAAACAAACACACAGACAGGCAGGCGCACAGACGGGCAGACAGTCGGACGGACGGACACACAGAAAGAGGGACAGACAGACAGACAGAGACCAACAAACGAACAGACCCATAAAGAGGCAGACAGGCAACAGACACACATATGAAGAGATGTATCAACAAACAAACAAACAAACAAACAATCACAGATTGACACAGCACTGATCCAGAGGTATTTAAGCAAAAACAAAATCACCAATAATTTATGCCTTCATCGTTTTAACAAAGATTCAGATTAACCGATAAAAGGTACAGTTTTGTCCGTTTATCCTTTCTCTCTCCTCCATTTCACAAAGTAACTGATTTAATACGTCAATTAAAACTGAAATCGTCTTGTTGTCAACAGTCAAATACGGTGGCCTCCTATTAAGCAGCCACCCTCCAAATGGCAGCCAGTTGTCAGAATCCGGAATCACTGTCAACAGAAAGTCCGCCAAAACTGCTTCAACATTTCACTCTGGGGTTCAGTGATGGAGTCTTGTAAAGTATTCTAACGGGAACTGGTCGTTTCGATACAAAAATTTTGTTCACTTCAATTCACGTATAGATTGCGCATGAACAAGAAAAACATTCGGGGTGAATATTCTTCGTTTTTTGAGCCAAGCACCGGTACGTGGACCTATTTACACATCGAATGAATAAACTCGTTATCGAAACCACTTTGTATTCTAACTATTTGGTCTGTGGACGAAATCCTACGTTGTGACCATTCAAACGGAACCTTTCTGTCAATAATTACTTTCACAAGGCGCTATTTGTTTTTCAGAATTTAACTAATAAAATTTGGAAACGTTGTCAAATTTTGACTTGGACCTCTTTAGGGAGTGAGACGTTACTAGTGTCTGGTTTCACTTTATACCTTACAACAAAGAACAAACATAATTACTAATGACACGCACACACAGAACACATAAAGGCATCACAACATGACATTACAATGTAAGTGAGCTAAACACAAGTAACAGGAATGAGACGCTATTTAATAGGCCACAAGAACAAATAGACACGTCTGAGATCATTTTGCACAAGGTGAACAGCAGGAAAGTGCATGAACATGAATATTACACTCACATCCATGAAGTTGACTACAGTGACTACAATGTCTTGCAGTGATGGGTACCCCCCTTTGTAGGACTTTAAATCTTATGTAGATGTAGATGTAGTAGTTTCTGATTTGTTAGGTATTTCACAGTAACGCTGAACTTCTTAAAGATGATGGTAAAGGGAAACATTTGCAGAGGATCCATTAGGAGGTGGTTAAGTCGAAACAGTACAATACGTTGTACCGAAAGTCTCTTCTCTCTGACAACAGTTCATTATGATGGATCCATGCCTGTTGCTCCAAACAGGCAAGATTACCCCCCTGGCAAAACACAAGACTGATACAGTACCTGTCCCAATGGCACGTCCAGCCAGGGGGGGCAGCAGACTCTTCATATTCCTTAAGTTGTTTGTCAGCGTCAAAGAGCTTGTCGACCAAGTGGCGGCTGTCCAGAGCTCCTTCTCGCCAGTCACTGATTCTTGTCTGCAAACGTTAAGTTACATACTGTTTATAAAAGGGGAAGGAGTGTATTATCTGGTTTAAAAACTTGAGGAGAAGCTGAGAGTTTTTAAAACTGATAATACATGACAGCGAGGTTTTTGAAGGGCTTCAAAGTCTCTTATATAGATCAACTCATTCTTGCACTAATATTTAGATTTGGGGTTATTTTTGTATAAAAAATTGGATGTTAAGTTTAGCCGTGTCTTTATCAGATCCGAGGACACTCATTAAACATTAATTTCTGTTACTTTTCTTTATGAATTATGAATGAGTTTTTGAATGGACTATAAGGGAGCAAAGCCCAAAACCATTACTCTTCGAACATAACTGATCTTGACAGTTAACATCAAGATGATAGGAAAATACATGACTGTTGACTAAAATCTTGAGTTTTTGAATACCCCTTCATTTCCAAAGTTAGTTATATAGATGTTAACCCTTTGAACCCTAGGAGTGATCAGCATCAAATTTCTCCTTGTAATATCAATGCTTTGTAAAACAGAGTGGTCATGAGAATTACAGGCATGATCACACAAGATGAATTTGCTTGATATTTTATCAACTTCTCCCCACTACTTCTGTAGGAAATGAATTGGGGCAACAAATGAGAATTAAAAATTTGATCTTAGGGTTTAAAAGGGTTAAGGTGCTTTGGTTTTAGGTATGCTAATGAATGTCACGTAGGGCACTTGCCATTGCCTAATTTCAAACCAAGGGCTTCTGGGTATGAGTCTGATTATTATGGGATTAACAACAAGAGACCTACAGAATCAGAAAGAGGAAACCAAGAATTACAAGTTCCTTGAGTTTGGTGTTGATTGGGCCGAAATTCAATGAGATACAGGCATTCAAAACCCCCCAAAAATTCACTAAGAAATGCATACACGTCTGGACAGCGTGCCGTTCAATATTGGCCCAATTAACACAAAACTTGAGATTTTGCAAAACTCAATGTGCTCTTTCTAACTATGTGGGTCTCATATTGTTTATCCCACAATACACAGACTTGTAATCTGCCCTCCTTGGTTTGAGATAAGGCCATTAGTCAGCAAGATCAGTCCAATCACACAGAGAATTCCACTGTTCATTAGGATGATCCAGGTTACCAGCGAAAACACTAAATGCCTGTTTCATTTTCAAAATGCCAAGCCCAGTTGTGACTTTAGGAAGCATCCTTGGATTAATACACCAAGGAAAATAAATTGGGACCAAGGATAAAGATGAAATACAACAGATACGTGTCATGTAATGAAGTTCTGTCTTCTACATGCAGGGACAATAGTCCAGTTTCGAAAGTCTTCATGGCCGCTGAATAAAAGCACTGATGACTCATTTATACAGGGTTAGCCTCGACCGAAAGTAAAATATTCACAAATACCGGCAAGAAGATGCCTAAATTTGAGCTTAAGACAATAGACACAGTTGTACTTTGGTCTTCTTCTGACTGGAATTTGTGAATATAGTTACCTTAGGTTGAGGCTAACCCTGTATAAATGAGTCTTCAGTGTTTCTATTCAGTGGCCATGACAAATCTGAATCTGGACTATTCTATAGTACCCTGCCAGCAGAGTCTCCTTCGATCTTCCTAGATAAGCTTAGATAGGTCGGGACTTATCTAGGAAGATCGAAGGAGACTCTGCTCACAGGGTAATCTATAGGTACATTAGGTGTAACTATGATGTATTGAATTAAACCCCTTCATTGTTGTATTCAATTGTTACTTTCATTTGTGTATGACACAAAATGAATTTTCACAATTATTTGGCATCCTGACCTTTTAACAATCAGTTCACTAGCATTTAGAGATTGTTTGAAATATGAATGTGAAGTGTAGAAACTATCATTCTGTTGAGTACTGAGAAGGGAAGAATCATTTTAAACTTCTCTTGTGGTGCCTTTTTCACAAAAACTACTTTTTCTACAAATTTACCTCCATTTCAATGAGAAGTATCTTCAAGTTTGATACACCCTTTCGTGAGACTTCTAGAAAATCCAGCTTGTTGGTCAGGACTGAAGTCAGGTCCAAGATTTGCCGCTGTGAATGAAATAAATAATTTAGCATTTTGAACCATACAAGATCAGCATACAATGTTCCCACTGCTCTATGCAGAGTCCTCATAGTCTTAAAGGGACTGTGTCACAGCAGTTTAGTAGGTTGTTTTTAGTTTGCAAGCTACTTACTATGAAAGATAACTTTGGAAAGGAATTTTCTCCAAATGATACGGATACAAATTTCCCAGACCATGACCAATCAAATGAAAGCTCGTTTAGGAGAACTTTCACATGGTGCAGTTTGTTTGATATTTATTTATAGAATCAAATTTCAAGTCTGCTCTTAGCATTAGGGGCTGGTCATTTATTACATGGGACCAGCCATTTTCCTCCCGAGTCATTTTCAAAGTTTTGATTGGTTTAACAAACAAGTAACAAGCATAAATTGA